CGGGAAACGAAATTCGGACGGATTTCCAAAATTCCGTTTTTGTTTGAATGGAGTTTATGCCGAAAAGGTTCCATTTAAATTTTACATAGATCTGATGATGAGTTTCGGAGACAGGAAAGGAACTCTTCAAAAGTGACAGCAAATCAACCGCGATTACTGCTAGGTTTTTAGTGCTTTTTGTCAGTATTGTTTGAAGTCGGTTTAACTTAAAAAAAAAGGATTTGTTACTGTTTTTGTGTCGTTGAAACACTGTTGTAGAATTTACAATACCAAAATTATAGTTAACGGAACAAACTGGGTCGATGGTTGATGGTTGAAAATAGCAAAATGAAATGAATTTGTAAAAAAATATTTATTTCCATATTCAATATTTAGCAACAAAAAGACTATGACAGTTGAGTTGCGGATTTGTTAAAAAAAATGGACGTATCGTCAGCTATCTAACAAGATATAATAGTCTAGGATAATATCAGAATTCATAGAAAAACTTAGATGAATGACCGGGGTATCAAGAATTAGCATATAAGCCAGTAGCACCTAGTAAAAAACTTGGCTTATGTTTTTGAACTGTTTCTTTTTCTAGTCGTGACTAACTAATGCTAACTGGACTTTGATTTATGCTTCTGATACTGTTAAATAAAGATGACGACCTATACGAAAGATACTGATAGTCTGATTCGTTACGGATACTGCCAATGCGTATTCGCACTTCGCACGTATTCGTTAAGGTAACTAGAATTTTGGTAATGGAAATTATAAATGTAATTATGTATATAAATTTACAAATATCAACGACACAAAAACAGTACACAAAAAGAAAAATATAAGACTATATAAATAAAAAAAAATTATTAAACATAATTTTGGGCAATTTTTTCTTGAAAATAGTTTGGGAAATGGTGTTTCGTAGTGAAATCTATTAGTAATTATAGCCACCTTATCAGTGAATCAACAGATAGATATTGCGATTCTAATTTAAATTGAAATTCATGAAAATACGAGTTTATACATTTATAAATAAATTCTGGTCACAAAACGCGGCTAACTAAAGTCAGGATATTTTATAATCGTGTTCGTTATTTCTGTCATCGTGGGCTGGACTAGTAAAGATTCATTATATTTCCGTCTTTAGTCGTTTATAATTTGAGAATCCACACAAATTGATTAGTATAAAAACTATAATGTAACCGTTCAAATTGTATTTTTTTTACGAAAATAACGTGATGTTTAAATGTTTGAATGATGAAGTAATTAGGCCTATGTTCTTAACAGCAGGGCTAAAAGGAATGACTATGCCGTTAAAGGTAATGTGGTAGTGGTGGTAGCAGTTCCAATCATGCGTTGACTGCCTATGATGATGGCTTGACTCTTCATTGACTTCACAGTCAAACCAAACCTAATAGAACAATTACTAATGGCCTCCAGGTCGTTGTTTACCCTCAGGATAGTCTAATCTATGTTGTCTATCGGGGCTTGATAATGGAGCTGCAAATCATCGGCGTAAAGATGGTACGCACATTAAAGGTTTGGAGTGATGAGATTGAAAAATATTGAAAATAATAAGAGGTGAGAGAATACCACCTTGAGGGACGCCACAGTCTAGTTCACGTCAACCTGAAGATGATTCATCGACGCGGACAGAATGTTGGCTCACCGGAAGATAAGAGATAATCATGAGATAGGACAGAATAGACAGAAGGATATCGTGACTGATGGAGTTGAATGCATTTGAAAAGTCAACCAAAGCCAACACTGCTACTTTGGATTTCTCAATTAAATTTTTGGAATTTTCAAAAATGGAGATAGGGCGAAGGTGATATTAAAGAGTGTAGGATTCGGTCTTGGGAAGGGTAGTCGCGAATGCTTTACGCCACGCTAAGGGAAAAATCCCCGAGTCAAGCGAAAAATTTGTTATATGCGTAAGCACAGGAAGAAGGTGATCGAGGATAGGAATGATCATGCGACGGTTAATGTTATCACTTCTCATAGCATTGGATTTGATTGAGAGGATTATCTTTTTGACCACACCTGGTTCAACCGGAGAAAACTCAACAGCTTTAACATTGGGACGAGGTTGCTCTGACAGGAACTGTAACATCCGACATTTGATTTAGCGGTCAAACTGCGATGATGAGGTGAAATGACGGTTAATATCACCCAAATACCCGAACGTGTCAGATTTTATACAGACGGTTCAGCTTGATGTTCCTATCATACTAGAAAAAATCTGACGATAATTTTGCAGGGTATTTTAAATCTGACGGTTAGAATTATTTTTGTTTATTGATTTTTTTGTTATAAAATGTGACTGTGATGTGAATTATGTAGACATTTAAAGAAGATTTTTTACATTGTTTGCTTCAAAATAAAAAAAAAATGATAAGTTAATGGGTTTTTTTTGGATTTTGTGATCCTCCCACTGCTTCATGTCACGCTTAAATCGTCAGATTTTTTTAAAATACACTAATGTGTTTGTAGGCGACTCAACTTACTTTGATCTTACACGCTCGTGTATTTCTGGCCATCGATTTTTTTTAACTAATCTGATGGGCTGCCCTAGACGATCCCTCCTATATGTAGAGCTCATGTATGCTGGAGGTACTCAACTGGGTGCAAGGTATTGCTCCTATCTTAACCTAGAACGCTCGAGTAAATCCCGAAATCCCTTCTAGGGCTCCCCTACTATAACACATACGCAACATAATTTTTGGTACACACAAAGACTGTAGTCTGTTCTGAATCAGTAACAGTCCATAAAGATTATAATGTATTATTACTATGATACTCCCCTAAAACCATGTAAAAATATTCTAGTGGAATATCCACTGTTTTACTACAAATATATATGGAGGGCTGTAATGCTTGCACCTCAAGGCATTGACCGATTGAGGTTCTCATTCATTCCTACTCAGTGGAAATAAGATTACATTTTATTTCGAATATATATATATATATATATATATTGGTTTTATTATGTGTTTATTTGTATGTCTCTTGTATTTGAAAACATTGTACAGAATACCCTTTTCTTTTTTTTCCCGTGCGGAAATCCCCTCGGATACCACCTGGTGGCATCCATGTCGGACTCGAACTGACTAAAGCCGCACGCTGTCTCGGGTACTTATAGCCGGGGAACCAGGTATAACTTAGAAAGGAAGTCCCTGGTGCCCCGACATACCTCGGGCCATCTACAGGCAAGTAGACGACCGGGAGGGTCGTCTACTCGCGTGTAGGAACACCATGTTCCCTCTGCTCCCTGGAAGTGAGCGCGCTTAGCAACGCGCTCGCCGCCACCCCGGCCTGCGCTTATGGAGGACGGAGGTCGTTCTGCGACCTCCGGCGCCTGAGTCGCCTGCGGGACCTGGCCCGTTCCCGAGTCTGGCGGGCCGGGAGAGTTCTAAACCTCTCCCGGTCATGCTCCGCCGTCTCTAATTTGCTCGCAGAACGAGACGGCAGAGTTCCATGCACTCAGGCTATCGACGGAAAGAACTCCCACTCCGATGGCCGCCACGAGGTCTCGCCTCTGCTCAACCCACGCCGGGCACTCTGCCAGCGTGTGGAGAGCCGTGTCCACAGTCTGGCCATCGCAGTGGTGGCACTCAGGCGTTGGCTCCTTGCAGATCAGACACAGGTGATCCCCGAAACATCCTTTCCCAGTGATCACCTGCGTCAGTCGGTATGAGAGTCCCGTGACGCCTCTCGAGCCAATCCTCCATAACGTGTAAAGAATACCCTACTTAGAAAAGTTTTCCCACTGTTAATTTTATTTTATATGGTTTTTTCCCGTTTTAATAAAATCTAACTGAAACAGAAACTTATGTTCCATTAATAATGAGTTTAAATTAGACTAACATTTAAGTCGTCAATTAAAAGAATTGGGCAAGGTAGCCGTAATCAAGGCACAAAATAAAATAAAAAACTTGATTTTAAGTCTACATTACGTGTTGTTCTTTTGATATCACATGTAAACTTGATGGTTATATTCCGCGATCATTAATTACACGCCAATTTAAACTGCTAGTATTTTATACATTCCAAGGTACTATTCGGTCCGAAATTTAATCATGAGCAAGAACTTTAATAAACAGTGTTTATTTACATAACAGTAGGCAGCTTCCGTTCTTCGGTGAGAGATAGGGATGTATACAGTTATTGGAATGTGTTTATTGATGTTTTCGTTACGATATTGATGCAAAAATTTTAACTATTTATCACAAATAAAGGACTCTTTTGCATGCCTGGCTACCTTTGACGTTTGTTCAATGATGATTGATAAAGATATAAAAATGTAAGAGCTCACACAACAATCTTTAGTATTTTGGGTACTCCGGAGATATGCTTATGATTTATTAGATTGAATAAGGTTGATAACAAAGTCCGTTTATCACAAGAATAGTCAAGCCTAAACTCTATCTAATCCATATCTGGTGAATTATCCGAGAATACATTTAATATACTTTAATAATAACGCTGCTTATTCTTTAATAATTTATTTAGACAAAAACTTATTTACTTAAAACGTGATAATCACTGCAAACTGAGTTACTCTATTGGCAATTAATTGCAATGTAGTTTGCAAAAATATAATTGAAGTTTGGGTTTCAGTGTATAGTGCAGTCTCAATTAGAGCTGGCTAGATTAGAAGTGATTTTAGTGAATGCATGCATTCAAACGGTCTAGTCAATATTTTTTAAGTATAAAAATACAAAATTAATGAGGTTCCTATATTGTGTAATGTTAATTATTAGTTACTCGCATGTATAATTGTCATAAACTTACGGTTTAATAACCAGGTAGGTATATAAAGGAGTCACTGTTGTACACAACAATCAAAACAAACAAAAAACCCGTTAACTTTGATAGGTGATATAAATAAGGTTTAGGAACATACTCAAATAGTAGATGAGTAAACCACATGTTCCAACTCCGTTTCAAAACCTTAGTTACTAAAATATGATTTAATTACATTCTTAATTATTAAGCAAAAATTTAGTACTTACGTATATACACTTCTTTACATTCTGTGATATAAACGAGTGCAAGAACTACAAAACTGTAAACTGTAAACATTTTTAATATTGGTTCCGAAATACAAAATAATACTCTGAATAATTTTTTAGGTTTTGTCACAAGAGCTCAAGTGATACTGTGCGCATTCAGGATCGAACAACTTATTTATGTCAACTCGTCGATTCTTTTCCGTCTGATTTAATGAATCGTGATCAACGTTATTATTTCACGATCGTAATGAACGCAATTTTATGCCATCTTTCTGACCAGTAAAGGCTATAATTGTCTGTGCGTATTCAACCATTAAACGGCTTAGTGTTAGTTAATTTGACAGCTATAAAAAACTGAATACATTAAGTATATAAAATCATAAAAACTTTAATTTATAAAGCATTGTAATCTATATTTAAATGTGGATAATAATAATTGTTTATGTAATATTTTATAAATTATAATCATAGGTATTATGACTATAGTATTATGATTTATATACTTATATCTTTAGGGATATCTTTTTTGCAATTTTTAAATGACGGGTTTTATAGTTTCTGCACCTTTTAAAAATCACCAATACCTAACAAGATTTAAGAGAGGTTCTAAATGGATTTTTCATGTACTTTGCCTTTGTTTTGGCTAAATGTAAAGTTCAAATTAGTTATCTATCTTCAAAGCAAAATTTTGTAGTTTATCATGTAAGCCTATAGTTTTCTATGTTTTCTGGAGATGCTTTGTAATGTAAATAATTACAAACATTAGTTTTTCATGCTTTCATATCTCGGCTGTCTTTGACATGGTTTGATGATAGTTTTTATGGAAATAAAACATGAACATAAGAATCCCAGCGTGCTGCAGTCATAGTACATTGTTTTCATCGTTTTCCAAATAGTGTTTATTCATAACATATTTACTATTTGGAAAATTATGCTTTTGAATCCTTTTACAAGCTGGGAGGGGTAAGTTCTATTCGTTATAGAGTAGTTCGTATGAAGTAGTATAAAGCCAAAATTAAAACTTTTTACTGAAGTTTAAAATAGTCTTTGACCATGTGATTCTTTCATTGATATCTTTTCTAAAAAGTAATGCCGAAAAATATCTCGCATAAATTTACAGTCGTTACCTGGTCCTGACTCCTCTCTTTTCTTAGATTAGCCTAAAGTTTTCATTATTTGATAAGGGCAGAAAAGTCATAAGAGCACACGGATTCACTGCTTCTAGATTGTTTACATGAAACTTTGTGAAGAACTGAATATCACTACGATAACCTGGGGGAACGGTTGTTATCCGACGGCACTAAAAGGAGATGTTTTTCGAGAGTATGTATGTATGTATAATTATTTGGCATTAACGGCTCGATGGATTTTAGCTTGAGAGGTGTCGTTAGATTCGTATTTACTGTGAGAGTGACACTGGGTATATTAAGTAAACAAAGAAACAAAATGGCGAAGTTTAGGCGTCAAATGTAAATGTTGGGCACGCTTTGCAGCCTAAACGGCTCGATGGATTTAGTCGGGTGTTTTGTTTTTCAATAATTAGCTCGTTAAATTTTTTTTTATCTAAAGCTTATCTATGTCTGTGTATCAGCCTAGTATGTTAGTATTAGATTTAGAAATGTAACGTACATAGACGGGTTATGTCTTTAGAGAGATGAGTTTGTTAGTGATAGTTTCTGGACGATAGATTACATCTTTGTATAATTCTTTACACGACGCATATAAATGTTTTGTCATCGAGGTGCTGATAGTTTACCGTAAATCTAAAACAACAAGGCAGTGTGCTGCACAGAGATGAGCAAAATACAGTGAAGAAAGTTTTATGTTTATGTATTAAGGAGTAGAGCACGACCAGAGAACAGAAGGATGGATTGCGATAAAGAGGATATGGCTAGAGAGGCAGTAAAATGACGAGTGGTAGAGGAGAAAGAAAGAAGAAAACTCATTGCGCCGACCCCAAATAAATTTGGAATAAGGTTAAGAAGATGGTGAAAACCAAACCAAACGCCAATTAAGACAACGATAAGACAAACGTAACATAAATCTATTAAACGTTCCTTACTGAAAATTGTGAACAAGTAACACTTTAATAAAAAATAGAAAAAGTACGAACCTATTTATCCATATAAATTTGTAAATCACACTTAATCTTACAATCGTTAAATATAAGTTTAAAACCCTAAAACATTTTTTTATATGGTATCAGCTTCTGCTTTGAGACTTTGCTTGTAATCAATTTGCATGCCACTAGATCAACAGGAAGGTCAAGTATACTATATACGTTTTGATTTATCGAAGTGTTAAAATGGATTAAAATATAAGTTTTAAATGGTTTAATCTCTTGATTACGTTTATTATGTTGCGAACTACTAGCATCCATTTCTATACAGATGATGGCAAGGGAGATGCCTTTTATACTGGCCGCCCCAATATTTCTTGGGAAAACGTCATCGAGAGTCGAAACAAACTTGTGTCTGAAATTGAAACTTCCTTAAGGTTTCAGATTGGGGTCGACTGAATCTAGTCCTTTTTAATCAAAAAATGACACAGGTTTGAGCATTCACTGAGCACACACAAAAGATACCGTTTGTCGTATCGCCTCGGTTCGGGAGCACCTCCCTAACTGTCTCAGCCAGTATTGGAATCCTAGTCATCCGCATATTGAGCAAAGTCCAGTTTCGCGGTCATTTAGAAGGCAAGGTCAAATTGACCTCGAAGAAACTCGGTGTGCTAAACAGATCGAGGCAGTATTTCACTCCAGCCCATCGCCTCGCAACTCTATAAGGCGCAAGTCCTACCACATATGGAATACTGTTCTCATCTCTATGCAGGGAACCACAGTACCAGCCTCTCCCTCTGGACTATATCCAAAGAAGAGCGACTCGAACCGTCGACAACCAAAATATCTCCGATCGGCGGTATTTTTTGAAATATGCGGAGCAAATGAGCAGACGGGTCACCTGCTAGAAAGTGACTACCGCTGCCTATTCACAAGATTCAACAAATAGAGACCAATGAAACAACAAATAAATACTTATATTAAATATACATAAATGTTTCTAATAGATCACGTTGTTTTCTCTTATTTTCGTCTTTCTTGCCTTGAAATATATTTTATTAAAGTTGTATTATAACTTTATCATCATTTCAATCAAAAGAAGTTTACTGCTGGACATAGGCCTCACCAAAGGCTTACAAAAACCGGTCCTGTGCTGTCCGCATCCAACGAACTAAAAAAGTTAGTAAGTATAAAATGTGATTACATTTTCAAATGAAAGGATTTCTTTGGTTTATTAATAGGAAGTAGCTCAAAAAAAACAAAGACGAAGTGTTTCAAGTTATTTATCTTCATCATCACATCACATATCTTCATGATTCGCACCAAAAAGGAATTTGGCATACGTGTTTGGAGTTAAATTGTACCTTGCAACAAAGTTCAAGTACAGTGTTAATTAAAAAATATAAGCGATATACATGAACTTTGAATTAAAATTTAATACAGACAGGATGTGCATGTGCACTCCGCTCAAGTTCAATACGGGCAATATAATTTTTATGAGTTCAATGGTTAAAGATGAATTTACCTTGCGAATAGCGTCTGATTTCCTAAAAACTTTTACTATTTATACAATACAATCACATAGTAACCTTTTGACATTTACGAGTATCTTAGCCATGACGACTTGATAAATTTAGTGATTATAACGGGTAGATAGGTCTATGTAGTAATAGGAGTAATTTTCATGGTTTCATAACTTATTTAATTTAGTTTTCATAGACTTATCTTGTCGTTCATCTACCAAATCTATCAACGTATGACTTTTTATTTTCTTAAAGTAGAAATGTATGTTGATTGATAATTACGAGTATTGTAGGTTTGATTAGAAGTATTTTTAATCTGTTTTATAACCCACACATTTAAGCAACACTGACAGCCGTGCATTCAACCTCTTTATCCTAATACCCTGTCTGTATTAATATAAAATGATATAGTATTACAACGAATTGGTTTTTAAAAATACTCGTAGTTCTTGAAAAAAGAGCGCCTAAAGTGAGTTCCATTAAGCATTTGATTAACGAGGTTTGATGAAATCTTATCGATTATCATCTTCACCGAAAGACAAATATTCGAACACCAGTAAATGCTATCCTTCATTACTATACGACATACTTATATACAGGTTGTTGCTTTCGATGAAATCAAATATTTAGGACTAATTAAGTTTTATATTCCATAATAAATAATAGGGGTTTTCTTCTTTTCCACTAAAGACTAAAGATCATCTACTAGTGGTAACTTGAACTCGGTAGCGAAATCGTTTTAAACCAATTTTATGTAAATACCATGTTCATGGCTAAAATTGTTGAAACTCTACAAGATATAGGTATTTACAATAGTAAACATAAAAAGTTAAATAAATTCATCGGTGTGGCAAATAGCATATAGGAAAAAAAAGAACACATAGGTTAGTTCTCTGTAGTGCAAAGCCCAATGACAGTAGACAGAGTACAGTTAGCCTCAAATACTAACACCAAATTAAGTTTTAAAAGTATAAAAAATATACACCGTGAAATCATTGCACTGTTTGTACAAAAATGCTTATATTTAGATTTAGTGAGAGATACATCGCTTATAGTTACATATTAAAATCATGATAAAAACTGAATGAGAAAAGGTACAATGACTCTTAAATACCTAATATATTACTGACGTCAAAACTTGATCAGGTGAACCATTCTCATAAGAGCTATAATAATCCATACAAACTTTTAGTCTTATTTTCATCGTCCTCCTTACGAAGGTTATAGACATTAATTATTACAACATATAATTCAGAGTTCGTTGACATTTTGCTACTACAAGAAAACTAAAGCGTGATAATTTATAAGTTAATTTCATTTTATTTTTTAATATATTTATGATAGATGGGACTACATTTTATATAGTTGTGGTGGACTGCGCTCCTTTTTATGGCTAATTTTCAGAAGAGGTGTAAGGGGCTTATATTTCAAACGCTGTATTACCCTTGATTTATTACTATATACATACCTTACATCCAAAATAAACTT